TTCAAAATACAAGGTCTTTAACAAAAAATAACGTATACTTATTGTCGTCGGATTAACACCAAATTTTCACAGCTTTAAGGTGACAATGAGAGGAACTTGAATGTGTCCAGACAAACTATTTCATCGATTATTTACCAACGAGTTGTGGTTTGGGGGCAATGAGACTAAAACAGTAATTGAAATTCAGGACACTATTTTTTAAAATGCGTTGCTTGAATAAAACTAACCAGACACATTCAATTTACCAGACTATTGAACAACTAGGAAAAGTGAAAAAAATACTTCTTATCGCCAGCATAAATGCGTAATTTTTTTTTTTACAGAAAAAGTAATTTTTCACCTTTGATTGAGCAACGCGTCGTAAAATGCAGATACGGGCATGCAAAATACACTTGTGAAAAGCTTGAAGTCTGGCGATTCTAAAAATATATACTTTCCCGGGTCTATTTGTAGTAATTTAGTCACAATTAGAAGATGAAAACAAGTATGCAAATAATAGTCCCGCTACCTTAAAGATATAATCATGAAAATACCAAATCTGACAGATTCAGCCAAGGTACCTACAAATAAAGTTACAAAGCAATCAGATTAGCAGTTTTCATGAAGAAGTTGAAAATAACATTATTGACCAAAAATATTTATCAAAATTAGAGAATTGAAGATATTGTCACAAAATCACCAAATCTGACAGAGATCCACCTGATGTACCTACATATACAATATCAAAGCAATCAGACTAGCAGTTTTCAAGGAGAAATCAAAAATGATAAAAATATTCATCAAAATTAGAGAAATGAAAATATCACAAAATGAACAAATCTGAGGGAGGACCATCCAAGGTACCTACATACCAAGTATCAAAGCATTTGGGCTAGTGGTTTTCAAGAAGAAGTCAAAAATATAATTTTTGACCAAAAATGACAAAAATATTCGCTATAAATAATTGAACATATCCACACGAAATGAAACAATCTGAGTGAGAACCACCCAAAGTACCTTCCTAGAAAGTTTCAGAACTATACAGTTTAAGGTTTTTAAGAAGTCGAAAATGTAAAGACGGCGATGGTGATGGACAATCAGTAATACTATAAGCTCCGCTAAATATGCCTGCATCCATCACTATCCCATCCTTGTTGGATTCAAGGAACCCAAGTTGTGCCTAAATTTCTTGCTATTCAGTGGGCAAGTTATCAAACCCTGTCTAGATTGGCAGTTGAAGCCATTGAGGTAGAAGCCAAGTCATAATTTTTGACAAAATTGGTCATAAATTGCATGACAATGTTCATTGGTTTATGTACATTCATGAAGCTAATGTCCCATGGTACAATGAAATGGCATTATTTTGTGTGTTACAGTTAAGTGTATTGACAAACTTGTCTCAATATTTCTTGAAAATTGCTATTTTTAGAACAATTCCATAGAACACAATGTTAAAGAAATAATGCATTTTTTGACACTTTTTAAAACCTAGATTTTTTAAATAATTCAGAAAAACAAAAAGTACTCCATCATTAACAATATATGATTTTTTTTAGCCTATGTCACCAGGCTACTTAAATACAACCATCATTTTCCCGAAAAAAAGGCTGGTGACCCCCAACTTTTTTTAGGTCAATATCGTTGTATTGCCTTGGAGTACAGTTTATTGCAAAATGAATAAATTCTGGGTATTTTAATTTAGGAGTAGGCTTCAATCTCAGATTGGGACACTAGACCATACACTCCAGGTGGAATCGTGACTTCACAAATCGACAAAGTTATACGAGAACAGACCTGGTCAGTAAGTTACAGCACCCTCACTGGAATGAGTGTATCCACCAGTGAGGGTGCAACAAATACCGCAGACCATGTCACGCTCTCAACCAAGCACAAACAATATTAAGGTCTGCGGGTTAAATGGAGAAATTAAAAAAAATTGGCTGATCATTATGCAAATCTGGTAATTATTATGCATGGTTTCAAGTACAAAGTAATCAGGTCTGTGCATTCTCGAAGTACTCTGTCACTGAAAATGGTTCTCAAGATATCTATTACTGATATACACACCGAAAGCTCATTGACTCCCTGTTGCATGCATAAATGAATAATTTCATTTAAACTCATACGACATGTTACTGATGCAAATAAATATACATGAATAATAGATTGAATACTTTGAAAAGATAATTTTAATCATGATATTAATAAGATAAATTCATTTGATATTCTAGTACAAAAATACAAATAACAGTAAAAACAAATAAGCTTAAAGGTGTACCATCTATGCTTGTTACTAAGAAATCTTTGCTTAGTTTATATGAACTAATACAGTAAATATATTTGTATCCCAGAACATTATAGTGCTGGGATATGATCACCATGGTTACCTGCAGAAAACTATTTCAATCCATCTATCTATGCATGGATGGATGGATTATTCTTATTTCAAAATAAACAGTACTATGCTGCAAGGTACTAGCTAGTTCTATAAATCATCTCAATATTTTAAGGAGACTTTCCAAACTAGATAAAAATAGCTGATGATGGACACCAACATTTCAATGGAAATGTTACAAATGAAACTACAAATGAAAGGTAAAAAGAAAATAATTTTTTAGCTGGAATGGTTTTGAGATGCCATGTGTATGTTGCAGTTATTCTCCATAAATCAAGTGATTAATGATCAGCCTCAGAAGCATCATCAAATTGTCCACCACTAACATCAGTTTCCATGGCGTCTGAATCTACGGCAGTGTCTGTTGGATAAACATACGATAGATCTATTGAGATACATACTCATGACACTATCAATATGACTAAGTCACAGTACACATGACCCACTGTCGCTTGCTCGCTTGCTTGCTCGCAATTTCTCACCTGCTAAAATAACCTGACCATTACTGTGTGCAATATCTATTGTATTCTGTGGATTGTTAGCACCTTCTAGAAGTAAATTTTCTATCCTGTGTAAGTTAGACTGGCCTTGTTCTGTAAGATGGTCAATACCCTCTGCCTCTGTATACCATTCATCATTACAATCTCCATCACCTCCAACCTCCAAGGCATCCTCTGTAATATACAACACATCAGCAGTATAGACAGATGTCTTTTATGTACAAGTAAAATAATAACAGTTAATAATTAATAATTAATGAAGTTTGGAATGCATGATTTTATATCCCCCAAAATGATGTCCATTTGGTTCAAAATTAACACAGAAATGTGATAAACATTGCACAAAAATTATGGCAGAAAAAATGATGGCATTCAAAGGCGATATGGACATGTACTTATTATGCTCAATGATTAAAGCATCCTAAAATACCTGTGCCATGATGTATTTGTATGAAGTTGTGAAAGTAATCAACCAATGCATTTTAGAGTAACGTCTTTGAACATCATTATTCAAAACATAGCATAACTGCTGAGAATCCATTGAGAATTTAGATAATTGTGAAATACTTAATTATCATATAAATTTTATTTTTGCTATTCTCGTAGAATTAAATTTCCAAAAATATTAACAGGCAAAATAAAATACTAACTGGATTTGAAAAAAGGCAGAAAAACTATACTAGTCACTTACGATTTATACACATAATATCAATGTACTACACTTATCTAATTGACAGATCTTGGAAAGCATATTACTAACATCTAGTTTCTAATATCAGCAGTTGATTGTCTCAATTTTGTTCACTTATACTATGTCTAATGAATATTTTACTCCATATCTTGAAAACAGCACTTGCTACCCAAATGAAACTTAGTTGATATTTCATAGTGATAAGACTAAATTTCAAGATGAAACTTAACCAATATCTTAAAAAATAAAAACATAAAACAAGGACAGACATTTACCCCTCATATCACCACCAGTCAGCCAAATTGAGAAGCCAAATGGTGTACATATTTATGTCTTAGGGCCATGTTTCGTAGACAATGACTACAGATATGAGGAATGAGCCAGGACAAGCACAATTTTTTGGACTGTTTGAGATGGGGTGTAAAAACATTAAAGCATGATTTCTTGTCTATACATTCATTTATTCTTTGGACCAAGGCTGGCCTAATACATACATATACAAACAGATAATATTTAAATCAAATTTGACACGACTAGTTAGTTAGGTATCACATGTATTACAGCCTATAGTAAAATGTGGCGAGATCAAATCAAACATTTTTACATACCATAATTTTCGGAATCTTCAGAATTAGTATTATCGTCTTCGTCCGGATGAAGTGCTTGACATTTGGCCATTGCATCAAACATTGCGTCTACTATTAACAGGAAACAAATGAACACAAGTTGATAAATTGTATCAAAATGTACAAGTACATGTTGAGTACGATGCAACTATTAAACAAGATCCTAAGTTATATCAAACTTTATATAAACTTACATTCTCCTTTATCAGCTGGAACAAATCTCATTTCTGTTATTGGTTCTTGTGTTTCATCATCACTTCCATCAGGTTCATTAGATAAGTTGGCATTAACCATAACATACAGACATTCATGTGGAAAGGCTGTTAAATCTCTTGAGACTGCATGAAGTGATATAGCAGGATATTGTAATGAAAAGCCTTTGCCACTTGTGTCTGTCCATGATAAACAACTTGAGAAATAACAAAACAAACATGTCAAAGTCAATTACATGGTCATGATATGAAAAGACAAAATTCATTGTACAGGTACTATTCTACAAAAAGTGAAATCTTGGATTAAACAAGTTATTGCATTACACATTAAGTTTAGATCATTGCTTTGTAAAATTCTCAGACATACACTCTTACTGGTGTAATCTCATATAGAACTGATTTAATTAGCGATGATTCAGTCAATGTGCAACTCTTAGAAATGTGATGTACTGTACATGTAATTTAGCTGACTTCATAAAAATACCTGGTATAACACATTGCTTGCTGAAAGCCTCTACGGATAGCCAAAAAATGGTATGGTGATAGGCAAACAGAAAACTGAAGATATCATCACTTGGTCTATCCAAGGGTTAAATATATCAAAGCGACTCGTCAAGCGGTTTTCAAGAAGAGAACAGGGTGCCATGGCTATGGTTGATATGGACACACCTACCTAACATTTATTTGGTACTATAGGGGAGAAATGTGCTACCTCAATATTGGATTCTGCAAAGGACTATGGGATAGAAAATTGAACTGTGGAGGGCGTTTGGGGTTGGGGGAACTCGCATCTTTTCCATTGAGCCCTATGTTAAATATCAGCTTTTTACCTCTCCTGTTTTCCAGCAACACGTTAGTTTTTATAAAAAACAAGCCATGCATGGCACAGTCCCCGTTAGTTATCGAAGTTAAGATACATAGTTTTGTTTATAGTAATATAGCTGGAATATAAACATGTCAGGAATATGATTATGATGATTGTTTAACATTTAAATGATTGACATTTGTATATGATCGTCAAACGAGTATTGAGAGATATTGCTCTGGAACAGCATTAATTAAAACAAGCCATGCATGGCACAGTCCTCGTTAGTTATCGAATTTAAGATACATGTATATAGTTTTGTTTATAGCCTATTCATTAAAACAAAATGGCCACTAGTCAGCCATTCTGAATCTGATCTGTATGATGTATGTGTGAAGTTTGATTGTGATTGGTCCAGGCATTTCTAAGATACAGGTCCGGATGCACGCACGCACGCACGGAAGCATGGACGCACGAAGGTCAAACATAAGTCCCCGTTTTCAAACCGCGTCCGAACGGGGACTAACAAAATCAGCCATTTTGAATACATGTATAATGAATATATAAAATTTGAACATAGTCAGTCAAAGCATGTCCGAGATATGGCTCTAGAAGCCCATTCATTAAAACAAAATGGCCACTAGTCAGCCACTCTGAATCTGATAAAATAACGTGCATTTGGAACCCGTAATGTCTAATGTATGTACCAAGTTTGAACAAAATCCATCCATAAATGTCAGAAATGTTTGATATTTGATGACTTTTTAGCACAAAAATGGCCACCATTCGACCATTTTTAATAGGATCGTCAAACCAATATATCTGTATATCTATGACATGATGTATAATGAATATTTAAAATTTGAACATAATCAGTAACCGCAAGTCAGAGATATGGCACTAGAACCACATTCATTAAAACAAAATGGCCGCCAGTCGGCCATTTTGAATCTTATCTGAAAAACAAAATGATGTGCATCAAGGTCCTATAATGTCTAACGTATATACCAAGTTTGAACAAAATCCATCTGTAAACAGACGAGAAATGCTTGATTTTGATGATTTTTAGAACAAAAATGGCCACCATTCGGCCATCTTGAATCAGATCGTGAAACAAATTGATGTGCATATGTATAATATCATGTATGATGTATGTGTGAAGTTTGATTGTGATTGGTCCAGGCATTTCTAAGATACAGGTCCGGACGCACGCACAGACAGAAGCACGGAGGTCAAAACATAAGTCCTCGTTTTCGGACTGCGTTCGAACTGGGACTAAAAAAATTATGATTATATTGTTGGACTTTCTATTAATTTTACGGGGAAGATTTTTTTTAGATTATTTACTGTTTTTGGCTGTAATCCCTATAACTGCATCTCTTATCCTGATTTACATTCAGGCATGTCAATGAGATAGTATGCACACATGCACACCAATCCATCCATTTGTCTACCAAATGGACTATTGTTGTCCGTAAGTTACACCGCTCACTTCACTAACCCCTATTTCAGGATGTATGTACAAAGGCCAATAAATTAATGTCTGCCACATCATGAACTAATAAGAGGTAAAGATAGCTAAGGATGAAACACATAGTAGTGTGAATCAGACTCCAGTCCTCCAAATTATATAAGTTGTGTCCCTATGTTCAACCTTTATCTGTACGTACCATTATGTTATACTAATGGGAATTTTTAAGCAATAGTTTCACCAATATCTTGAAAAATATTTGATTGTGACATAATGAATTGAACTTGAATTAATATTAAGATAAGATAAATATTTTAGAGAAAAAAGACAGTAAAACAGAGAGATCAAACATTTCCTCAGCAAATGTCACCAGAGCAGCGTGTAACTTGGGACCAGGGATATATTTGAGCTAAGATGTATGTAAAAGTCCAAAACACAAATACAAGACACACTTTGCAAACAATTGAAGGCGGAATATACTTTCATCACAGCATTAACTTATTCAAAAATAGCAAACAATTTTAAACTATCATAAAGCAAAACAGTATATGCATTCCATTATGACTTGTCTTTGTACCAACTTTGTACGAAATCAGTCCAGACATATCCGAGAAATGAGGTCAGATGTACAGAACCCAAAACACAAGCCCCTTTTCGAACCACGTCCGGAAGGACTATACCATTGTATTGTTGTCAACATGTTGGTGTAATTTATTATATACTCATTCCTTGAGATGATGTATTATTTTATTATGGTGGAATAAGTCATATTATTGTTACTGGTATTATCATGTGACAATGGCAACACAGGCAGGGGTCAAAATTTGAAAAACTGGTTGTCCACATGAAAATTGGATGTTTTTCACCCTTTGAAAATCCAGTCATTGTGGTGACCTTTGACCTTTACTATGTCAAATAATATACATTTCTGGCGGCTACAACATCAGTTCAAATTCAAGTTTGGATCTTGTCCTAAAACTTTTACTAAAGATGTAGGTTCAATAATATTATTAGTACCTGTTAAGTTAAATAAAAAATTCTATATTGTCATGGTTGTCATAATGGGCAACCAGTATTTAATTCAGTTGTCCAATTACACTAGTGGTTGTCCAACAACTGCCAAATTTTATGTTCGACAAGGGTACGATTTTTTTATGGGGTCTTAATATGGATTAGCTGTCAAGCCTACATAGGATATGATTCGTAAGCGTATGTCCGGCAAATCACTATTTCTATGTCGCTTTAACACCCAGAGTTGGTCATGTAATAAAAAGGTTGTTATCAGATATCACTTGTTCAGAAAAAGGTGCTTGATACTCATGATGTCATATTCTGTATTATCTGCTCACCTTTGGTTCTTTTATAATGCTAGTCTATGATGTCACTCCTTGATGTGAGCTAACCTCCAATACTGCTTGACTCTTGGTGACTGTCAAATTTTAATTTCCCATTTTGATATTTTGAGCATATTTACCTGGTTTTAAGTTCACAAATTTTTCAGTCAAACACTGAGTACTATTGTTATTTTACATGTTCATATGGATTTAATTTAGCAGATTTGAGTTATCAGTGAAAATGGTGAAATTAAAAAACAGTTAAAAATATATGCATTAACAGCATATGTGGTGTAGCCTATAGGTGGCAACAATTACATCTCAAATTTGATATTTTTTGCACAAATTATGTAATATATATGTGCCAATTTAAAATCCCAATGGTCCGTCTAGGACGTTGATTAACACTGAATTATGAACGCATGGACACATTGAAGCCTGTGATCTAAAATAATACACTGCGAATCACCTATAATAAATAAGATTGTGAAATGATTGTGTAAGCATGTTGTAGTGGTTCTACATCATTACCTTTCGGTTATAAATAACGTGCCTAATCCCATATCCTTTCCATCGATATTCGCCGATGTGTTTTCTTGTTTGTGTCTTATCCCTTCAGTTGGCGGTGGAAGAGACGTGACGACAACCATATTATATTTACAACTGTGCAGTCGAGCACATGAAACACACGATTTCCATACGCACAGCGACAGATGGCCAAACTCTCGCGGGGAATTCCTGATACGTAAGAACGAACTACGAGAGTTAAATTCACCAATCATCCTCTTCGTTACATTCAGATTCAGTAGATGCTAAGGCGTATTACTTAGGCGGATTGATAATTTCTATTTTTGGTTTATTATAACACAACACGTACCTGATAAGCACAAAGATACATATTTTAATTGACCGCTGACAAGTATTGATCCATTAGTACCAGTATTAGTTACCTACTTTACTCTGCAATGAAAAAAGTAGTTCTCATATGGCTATGATATTAGTTCATGGAAGTAGTAGTGTGTCTGTATGCTTCTGTGCAGGATGCGTAAGAGTACAAGGGTCATTTATTGTCCGTGTTTGTATTGTGTTATTTATACCGTACCGGTCGTATTTCGGTACAAAGAGAGCTCGTTCTTTGCACCTCTATCTCGAGTAACTGGTGACTTCGCGACACGTGGGTAATGACCGACTGTTATCATTGGAGCCACACTGTGTTAAAGGTTGACAAGATGTGCGGTTACAAGCGTACCTAAACCGCCAGGTCGAGTCTGGACCTCATCGATCGTCTGTAAATTTGTAATTACTTTCATCTGCCCGTGAAGCGAGCGTAATTCCTGTGTAACTGATCGACATTCTGTGAAGATGTCTTACTATAATTGGCAAGGCATGTTCGATTGGGCATATGGTGGAGTAGACCCCAAATTTGTTGGCTTTGGGGGTCCGGATTGTGCCAATTTTTTGGGAATTTATCAACGTCTGATCGAAACAGTAATAGTCACATCAATAGCCATGGTTGAAATGTACTATTCATGGATACATCTAACGATCCCAGAAGTTCCAAAAAATGATCAAAGTGACCGCGTTGTTGGAAAACGGATTTTACTAGTTATCATATGCCTAACTTTTGGTGTGGAAATTGGTTTTAAATTTGCCTCCAGGACCGTGATATTCCTTCTGAATCCTTGTCATGTTTTAACGGCAATACAGGTGAGTTGGGCGATGCAGTATGGTGTTTATGGTTTAACTGAGAGCATCCACATTCATTGTATCAATTGGATGTTTACTAACATTCGATGTAATCCATTGATGCTACTTTATGGATGTATATGCCTCGAATACTAACACTGATTCCAGCATGAAATTATGTAATATGATGATCATATTTAATGTGTATTTCTAATACGATCTCGTGATCCTAAAATGGCGTGACCGGCTGCGTGGCAATGTTTACAAGTTGTGAACGAGTCACGAGGCCGATATGTAAATATTACTCTAATCTTGTTGCATATGAACAAACCAACGTCTCTGTGACCCCACCCTCCAATTTGTTAACTATATTATTTCATTGATATTTCATACATAAGATGGTATATCGTTGACTAATTCAGTATTTTGTTGATATACCAAATTCAGATTATTTAGGTATGATTTCTCAATGGCTGAATATTTGCTTAAGAAAATATATAATAGTATTTTTCATTAAATTTACTGCTGCTTGTAATACAGTACATTTGCTGTATATGCAGACCTCCCCAACCTGCATAATAGTCATATATACTACGTTCACGTTACGGGATCTCGGCACGTGCCGAAATTTTTAATCCGTTGTGTTTGCAGAGGGATTGCAGCAGTTGCGTTCACGTTATTCGGGACCCACTTAGGACTGAGTCGGCTCGTGCCAAAATCACGCCTTCATTCGTCGATCTGTTATTTGGCCCAAACATGGAAAACGATACGCATATGATGATAATATTAATTGCTACTTTGAAATTATATCCATTTGTTGCTATGGTGTTTATTACGAGCCATCGTGCACATGAACGGCAAAGAAGATTCAAAACACAATTATTTTTTTCACATCAATGTAGTATTGCAAGAAAATAGCGGTTGCAGCAGCACATAAATATGCGTCGCTGACGACGGTTTGCATTCATTTCATTCATTACTACAGCATCCGACCATATACTAGTATATCTGAATTTCCTATCATCGTCATTTCATACTTGTGTGAATCAGCTTATGTTTTCTTAGATTTACCACTCTGTCCCGAGTCTCGGCACGTGCCGAGATCTCTAACGTGAACGCCACTATAGTCTAAACTTCATATTGTTTTGTTAAATACATGTGTACATCTACATAACAATTACAATTTGTTTTTAGTAGTTTTTTAAAAATAGTGGATAAGATTAGCTAGCAAAATTCTGATGCATTTTTAGCTTCACTAAGGGTGTTGTATTACAATAATAGCTTATCTCTATAATGATTGAATTTCTATAGAAGCGTATATGAACCAAAAATTGTATTTATACTGGTTCATTAAAATATTTTTTTTTTTAAATTTATTTTGACCATAGAAACACCTGAAATTTACACTAGGCCAAAAAAATAAATTTTGCTTCATCACTACTTGCATCACATACTTTGGTTTGAAACCTGTGCCTCACATGTTTATTGTTTTTTTAATTTTGGGTACTGATGAAGTGCGTTGCATACAGCATAATGGAGAAATATTTGCTCACTGTTTCACAGGATGTTTTGTCAAATCAACCTTTAATGCATATATTCAAAAGCATCATTTAATAAATGTTTGTCTAATTATAAAAAAAAACTGTCACTGCACCATTTTCAATTATCCCTAGAATGAGAAGTATATTTTCTTTGGCCTAGGCATTTGCTACTCATACAGCAAATATGGTATCCATAGACTGACTATGAGGGTAGTCGTGCAACATTTCATGGAAGCCTGCCAGTTTTAAAAGCTGGTAGTCACATGGCTATATTTGGCTATATCAGGTTTGGTAGGTGCTTAGAACAATTCAAACAAGTGTGAGGACAAATAAATAAATGTTGTATTCCTTGCGATAATTTATGAATTTGAGGGAAAACTGATAAATGTAAAAAACGGTTATTATGCTGTAAAATTCTAGTAGTCCAGACGGGTTACTTAATTTAGAAAATGGTAGCCCTAGGTAGGACGATAGTTGGTAAGTGCTTGGGCTACTGCTATTTTCGAGCCCTGTAATATAATTCCTGTGGTGGATCACTTTTAAAAATAAATTTGTAGAGTGACCTGCTATTTCTGCTAAAGAAGGGGGAGGGGGTTCTAGTTGCCAAGTGTTTTTATAACATCATATCTAGATTCATATGTACTTAGCGTAGGGTTAGCGTTAAATTTTGTTACATATATCCAAGACAGCGATTGTTCTGTTTGCAGCACAGCATTTATCGCATCGTCTACTGAAAGCTTCTACAGATACTCCTACTGATATGAAAGATATATAACAGTTTTTAACAGTCTGTTTTGGCAATAGGTAATGGTTATTCAGTGCAAATTTGATACGTAACTAAGTTCAGTTGGGTGTCTTAAAAGCTGTTAACTGGTATTGTCATTTTTCAGTAGAAAATAAAAATGTAGTGCAGAATTGTTTCCATAAGTTTAGAAATTCGAAAATATACAATTGTGCATTCATGTCACATGAACATAGAGTTTGAGGTAGAAACATGATGTATTTTGTTCTCTGTATATTGGAGACAGTGTTCTCAAAAGCATTATTCATGAATTGTTTCTTGTGAAAAAAAAATTAAAGCAATGTTTTTTTTCATTGAATACATTGAATATCTCTTTGTTATATTTTGCTTTTTTGGGGGACAGCTTTGTATAATCTGGGACAATAATATAAATCGTTAATGCTTTGTGTCTAGTGAGAAAACTGTAATAGAGTAGGACTACAGATTGAACAATTACCGTACACAATCTGGATTTCATGCATTCCGTTTTCCTGTCATGACAACAAGTTATTGACATGTGCAACACGTTGTTTAGACCTAGTAATTTTTTTAGTGTGATTATTTTTTTATATAACAGAATTTGTATAAATGTCATGTCATAGAATGGTTGTAGTGAATGGTATCAGGTGGGGTGTTTAGTCACTGGTCTTGTGGCCTTAGTGAATGGTATCAGGTGGGGCATCTACGAGTAGTCACTGGTCTTGTCACAAGTTGTGGCTTTAGTGAATGGTATCAGGTGGGGTATTTAGTCACTGGTCTTGTGACCTTAGTGAATGGTATCAGGTGGGGCATCTACTAGTAGTCACTGGTCTTGTGGCCTTAGTGAATGGTATCAGGTGGGGCATCTACGAGTAGTCACTGGTCTTGTCATAAGTTGTGGCTTTAGTGAATGGTATCAGGTGGGGTGTTTAGTCACTGGTCTTGTGTCCTTAGTGAATGGTATCAGGTGAGGCATCTACTAGTAGTCACTGGTCTTTTGGCCTTAGTGAATGGTATCAGGTGGGGCATCTTGTCACTGGTCTTGTGGCCTTAGTGAATGGTATCAGGTGGGGTATTTAGTCACTGGTCTTTTGGTCTTAGTGAATGATATCAGGTCGGGCATCTAGTCACTGGTCTTGTGACCTTAGTGAATGGTATCAGGTCGGGCATCTACGAGTAGTCACTGGTCTTGTCACAAGTTGTGGCCTTAGTGAATGGTATCAGGTGGGGTGTTTAGTCACTGGTCTTGTGGCCTTAGTGAATGGTATCAGGTGGGGTGTTTAGTCACTGATCTTGTGGCCTTAGTAAATGATATCAGGTCGGGCATCTGGTCGCTGGTCTTGTGACCTTAGTGAATGGTATCAGGTGGGGTATTTAGTCACTGGTCTTGTGGCCTTAGTGAATGATATCAGATAGGGCATCTAGTCACTGGTCTTTTGGTCTTAGTGAATGGTATCAGGTGGGGTATCTAGTCACTGGTCTTTTGGCCTTAGTGAATGGTATCAGGTGGGGCATCTAGTCACTGGTCTTTTGGTCTTAGTGAATGGTATCAGGTGGGGCATCTAGTCACTGGTCTTTTGGCCTTAGTGAATGGTATCAGGTGGGGTATCCAGTCACTGGTCTTTTGGTCTTAGTGAATGATATCAGATAGGGCATCTAGTCACTGGTCTTGTGGCCTTAGTGAATGGTATCAGGTGGGGCATCTAGTCACTGGTCTTTTGGCCTTAGTTAATGGTATTAGGTGGGGCATCTAGTCACTGGTCTTGTGGCCTTAGTGAATGGTATCAGGTGGGGCATCTAGTCACTGGTCTTTTGGCCTTAGTGAATGGTATCAGGTGGGGTATCCAGTTACTGGTCTTGTGGCCTTAGTGAATGGTATCTTGTGGGGCATCTAGTCACTGGTCTTGTGGCCTTAGTGAATGGTATCATGTGGGGCATCTAGTCATGGTCTTGTGGCCTTAGTGAATGGTATCATGTGGGGCATCTAGTCGTGGTATTGTGGCCTTAGTGAATGGTATCATGTGGGGCATCTAGTCATGGTCTTGTGGCCTTAGTGAATGGTATCATGTGGGGCATCTAGTCATGGTCTTGTGACCTTAGTGAATGGTATCATGTGGGGCATCTAGTCATGGTCTTGTAACTTTTGTGGAAATGCTATATTTAAACAATAATGAATGACCCGCCAACCCGTAATGGGCGAAAGCTCACTTTGTGCGACATGAGGCGTGATTATTAGTCCCCGTTCGGATGCAGTCCAAAACGAGGACTTATGTTTTGACGTCTGTGCGTCCATGAGTGCGTCTGGAACTGAATCTTAAAATTGCCTGGACCGATCACAATCAAACTTCACACATACATCATACATGATATTATACATATGCACATCAATTTGTTTCACGATCTGATTCAAGATGGCCGAATGGCGGCAATTTTTGTTCTAAAAATCATCAAAATCAAGCATTTCTTGGCTGTTTACAGATGGATTTTGTTCAAACTTGGTATATACGTTGGACATTATAGAACCTTGATGCACATCATTTTGTTTTTCAGATAAGATTTAAAATGGCCGACTGGCAGCCGACTAGTCATGGTCTTGTGACCTTTGTGGAAATGCTATATTTAAGCAATAATGAATGACCCGCCAACCCATAATGGGCGAAAGCTCACTTTGTGCGACATGAGGCGTGATTATTAGTTCCCATTCGGATGCAGTCCAAAACGGGGACTTATGTTTTGACCTCTGTGCGTCCGTGAGTGCGTCTGGACCTGAATCTTAGAAATGCCTGGACCAATCACAATCAAACTTCACACATACATCATACATGCTATTATACATTTGCACATCAATTTGTTTCACCATCTGATTCAAGATGGCCGAATGGCGGCCATTTTTGTTCTAAAAATCATCAAAATGAAGCATTTTTTTACAGATGGATTTTGTTCAAACTTGGTATATACGTTGGACATTATAGGACCTTGATGCACATCATTTTGTTTTTCAGATAAGATTCAAAATGGCCGACTGGCGGCCATTTTGTTTTAATGAATGTGGTTCTAGTGCCATATCTCTGACTTGCTTTGACTGATTATGTTCAAATTTGAAATATTCATTATACATCATGTCATAGATATATAGATATATTGGTTTGACGATCTTATTACAAATGGCCAAAAGGTGGCCATTCTTGTGCTAAAAAATCATCAAATATTTATGGATGGATTTTGTTCAAACTTGGTACATACTTTAGACATTACGGGTTTCTGATGCACGTTATTAGTCGCCGTCCGAAAACAGGGACTTATGTTTTGACCCGTGTGCGTCAGTGTTTCCGTCCGTACGTGCGTGCGTCCGGACCTGTATCTTAGAAATGCCTGGACGAATCATATTCAAACTTCACACATACATCATACATGATATTATACATATGCACATCAATTTGTTTCACGATTTGATTCAAGATGGTCGAATAGCGGCCATTTTTGTGCTAAAAAATCATCAAAATCAAGCATTTCTCGGCTGTTTACAGATAGATTTTGTTCAAACTTAGTATATACATTAGACATTATGAGACCTTGATGCAAACAATTTTATTTTTCAGATCGGATTCAAAATGGCTGACTGGCAGCCATTTTGTTTTAATGAATGGGCTTCTTGACCCATATCTCTGACTTGCTTTGACTGATTATGTTCAAATTTTATATATTCTTTATACATCATGTTATAGATATATACATGTATTCAAAATGGCTGATTACTTGCTTCATACATCATGTCATAGATATACAGATAAATTGGTTTGATGATCCTATTCAAAATGGCCGAATGGATGGATTTCGTTCAAACTTGGTACATACATTAGACATTACGGGTTCCTGATGCACGTCATTTTATTTTTCAGATCAGATTTAAAATGGCTGACTGGTGGCCATTTTGTTTTAATGATTGGGCTTCTAGAGCCATATCTCTGACATGCTTTGACTGATTATGTTCAAATTTTATATATTCTTTATACATCATGTTATAAATATATACATGTATTCAAAATGGCTGATTTTGTTTTAATTAATGCTGTTCATGAGCAATATCTCCCAATATGGACAAGTACTTGTTTGACGATCAGATACAAATGTCAATCGTTTTAATGTTAAACAATCATCATAATCATATTCCTGACATGTTTATATTCCAGCTATATTACTATAAACAAACTATATATCGTAAATTTGATAACTAACGGGGACTGTGCCATGCATGGCTTGTTTTAGTTTTATTTTTTAGATCGGATTCAGAATGGCTGACTAGTGGCCATTTTGTTTTAATAAATGGGCTTCTAGAGC